AGAGAGACTAACTTATGGCAACACAAAAGAAAACATGGGAGCGGTGGAGATGAGGAGGTGTCGGCGTTCTGGCGATTTACTCGGAAGGATTCCGGCTCCAACTCCGGGGACTTCGGGTGGCAGTATAGGCTGTGAAGTTGTTTGCGGCCTGCCAGTAAACCCAAAGCAGAAGAAGAAGCGGCTTCATTTGCGTAATCCTCCCTCAGGAACTTATTCCGGTGTGAACGCGATCTGTACTTAGTTCATGAGAACTAAAGAGTTCTGATGAACTAAGTACGCCAAAGTACTTGGTGTAATTATTAAATATATCAATTTAAGTATAAATCCATTAATTCTGTTGAGTAGAGGAACCCAGAGCAGCAAAGTTTTAAATGGGAAACGCCAACTTTTAAACAATAAAATATAAACAGCTAATAAAATCCAAACCTCCATTATTGTTCTCTTGCAGAAGCCGGACCGCTTCAAGCTGGCTCCGGAGATGGATGTGTTCGTGTCGGACTTCCTGCAGGAGTGTCAGGACGCAGACAAACAGCTGATCGTGATGGTGCGCTTCTCCGCGTTGACCAACAAGGGCTACCCGGTGGTGCCGTCGGTGTGGAGGGTGGTGCAGCACCTGCAGCCGGCCGCCGTGGAGCAGTACGTCGCCTGGCTGAAGAAAACCTTCCTGCAGCCGCAGATCGACAAACTGCTGGACTTCAGCACGCGCAAGCAGAAGGACAACCCGGCAGCCAAGGAACAGTGAGTTTCAAGATTCAACGCTTTTATTGTCATTTGTACACATAGCTACAAAAGCTTAGGTCACAGGCTCCTCCAACAGTGGAACCAGAATCAGTTATTAACGGCATATATATATATTGCACATATTGCACATAGTTGGTTGGTATTTAACAGCAAGAACAACACAATAAAACAGATGAAATAGTGCAAGGAGAGTCTATATAAAGTAGTTGGAATATGATATATTAGATAAATCACTTGTAAGTTTCAAACAGATGAATGTTATGGATTTTCTTTCAAAAGTTCAGGTGTTGAACAGTCTTATGACCCGTGGGATGAGACTGTCCGTCATTTTAAACGACCTGGCCTTTCAGCAGCATGCCTACCTGTCTACATGGAAATTGGTTGAATGTAATCGTTAATTTTTTCGTCCTCAGGAAGGATGACTCCGTCTTCCGCCTGAGGAAGTGGATTATCTCTCGGCTCTGTGCGATCATCGATAACCACCTGGTGAAGAAGTCTGAGGATCTGATCATGGATGTGGCCAGGTGAGCTGACTGAAGGTTTACTCTACACGAAGAGAAGAGACAGCTGTCAGCCGGTGTCTAATTCTTTTTGGTCTTGCAGGTTTGTCTTCTTCCACGCGTTCTTCGGCACCAAGAAGGCCTCGGCCGACATCCCGGAGACGAAGGGGAAGCTGTCCGTCCCGCTGGACGATAAAATCAGAGCCGTGCTCGTCAACTCTTTCTTTGGGTGAGGATTAGTACACTGTATTTATTTGGAATAAAAAAAAAAAAATTCTTTTAGCATTCTTCATCATCAGCTTTTATTGGAGAGTCTCAAGGTCCATTTTTAAAAGACATACAACACTCAAATATAAATAAAACTGACTGGTATCGTACAGCACTGAGACACGGATTTGAAAGCAGCATAATGACAGAGTTATGAGAAACATTTAATCGACAGATACATTTGTACATCAGATTTCTCAAGAGAGCATGGAACGTGTTGACTCGTGCTTTACAAAACATTTCACTTGCACTGCACCACCTTTTCAAAGCAGTATACGCAAATCATCCTCATAAGCAACCTGGAGCGTCTGGAGGCTCGCCTTCTTAAACTTGAGCCACAAGGGGGCAGTATAGAGTATCGGGCAGTATACAGAGGAGTACAATAAGCTCTCAAGAGGTTCCCCTTTAAAACCTTATCTGAACACCAAGAGAATGTTCTAGCCCAGGGGTTCCCAAACTTTGCCATGCCAAGGACCCCCATATAGCATTATCGTCTGGCGGGGACCCCCCTGTTGCAATTCTTTTTTTAAATGATGAGTACATTATCATGGAAAATATGACAAATGAATCATACAGCTTAATAATCAGTTATTCTTCTAAACAATGTTTGTATTTATCTTTTGTTTGTCATTCATTACATTCATTGTGTCTTCTGTTATAAACATTCTTAACGCAATATTAAACAGTTATATCAACAGTAAATATATTTTCAAAGCATTTTAAAAGTGATT